CAAAACCCAAAAACTATGAATCAGTTTTAGTTTTTACATTTGCAGAGTCAGAGATGTGAAAGCCATTCCTTAGTTTTCAGTTCCTTTAGGCTCACTTGTAAGTAAACATTTGGCAAAAAGTAATTAAAGGTTTTGTCAAACCTTTTCCTTCCCTATTTTACATTTTTCTAATGTAAAATCAGAAATGTTTGCTGTCTGGCTGAGATTTCAGGGATTATTGCTGAAAAACAATAAACAAATGACTCATAACACCAGTGAAGTGAAGTGTAGTTTGGCTTGAACACAGAGTGACATGTGAAGAAGAACTTTCTTATGCCAAAGCTAGTCAGGTCTGTAAACAGAAGGCCTCTGATTTCTTGCATATTCATGCTATAAAGCCGTCCTTCTCTGTCCTGATGTCATCATGGATATTGTGTCTGCAAATGTCTTTTCAGTAGAAGTACAGGTGGTATCTGAACCAGTCTGATGTATCAGTCTTGCTCTGATGAAAACAGTGAGAGAATATCTCATGATTGTGAGACTCCCAGTGAAATTAACACCTTATGAAAAAAATGTTAAATCTCTTTTTTTTTAACTAAACAGCTGCTGGTTGAGCCTTACCTTCTATGGATGTAACAATATGGTTCAGATATTTTCAAATAAACAGCTGTTTATTTAACGGATGGCTGTTTTGTAGCCTGTGCGTTTGCGAGATGACGAGGTCTCACAGTTGGAGCAGCAGCTGCAGAACAGCTTCGGTCCTCCCAGTCAACCACCACAGGAGCTGCCCAGGAACTGCTTTCTGTTTCAGAAAAGAGTTTTTGGTGAGTTTTAACTATTTAAATGTATATGATGATGCAATTTAAATTTGTATTTCTATGATCTCAGACTAGTTTTCACATTCAAATTGTTTGATTTTTGTCTTCCCGTGCTCTCAGACGATAGGCCTTTGACTTCAGCAGACCAGCAACGGTTTGCTGCTCATGTGGGACGGGATTGGAAACGAGTGGGACGGGCTTTACAAAAGCACTGCCGTGCCCTAAAAGGCCCTGCTATCGACAATCTCGCCTATGAGTATGAGAGGGAAGGGCTTTATGAACAGGCCTATCAACTGCTTGGACGTTTCATCCAATCAGAGGGCAGGAGTGCCAAACTGAGCCGTCTTATCAGTGCACTAGAAGAGACAAAACTGACCAGCATGGCAGAGATCATGTTGGGCATCCAGCCACGAGATTGAGACTGTACGTGTCTCTGTATAATGAATGAGTGATGTATATGTGTGTGTGTGTGTGTGTTTCCTTTTTGTACATGTGTGATTGTTTCCAAGGTATATAGTTACATTTGAAGAGTGTGCACTCTCATTTTTGTGAATTGTTTTTCATCATGACCTTATAATTTCTATCTGTCTCTTACTTGAAATTTGCCAACACCTGTCATCTGCCCAAAATAAAAAAAACATTTTAAATAAATAGTTTTTCATGCATTTTTCATGCATAACTCAAGATTTGTCCTCCACATTGTCCTGTCTGTGTTTTATCAGGTCAGGAAAAGTTGCATCTCAGAGTCGTTATGTGCATAAGAGCAACAAACTGTAGATGCTAAAAACAGCATCACTTTACCTTCCAGAACTTGAGTGTGTTTTTAAACCGTGAATTGCCCTCCACATTGAAGGGAGCAGTGTTATTGTTAGAAGGCACTTAATGTAGCAGGACCACTGCTACAGCACAGCTAATATGTGACCGTGGACCACAAAACCAGTCATAAGTGTCAATTTTTTAAATTGGGAATAAATAAGCTGAATAAATAATCTTTCCATTGATGTATGGTTTGTTTGGATGGGACAATATTTGACCGAGATACAACTATATGAAAATCTGAAATCTAAGGGTGCAAAAAAATCAAAATATTGAGAAAGTCGCCTTTAAAATTGTCCAAATTAAGTTCTTAGCAATGCATGTTACAAATCAAAAATTAAGTTTTAATATATTTACGGTAGGACATTTACTAAATATCTTCATGGAACATGTTCTTTACTTAATATCCTAATGATTTTTGGCATAAAAGAAAAATGTATAATTTTGACCCATACAATGTATTTTTGGCTATTGCTACAAATATACCTGTGCTACTTATGACTGCTTTTGTGCTCCAGGGTCACATATGAATTGACTCTTAATCGGCACATTACATGAAATCACTCATAAAAGAGTGTTAAAGACAACTGGAAATACAGAGCTTGACACCACTTTAAAAATTAAATTGTCAGGACCAAATTCCAGTTATGCATATTAAGGATATTACTGAACTATAGATTACTTTCATAATAATGTTTCTAAATAAACTGCTTTCTAGTCCAAAAGCATGCTTAATCTGATTATAAAACCAGTCCACTGAGTATAGGTCACCTAAATTGATCTAATTTTTTAAAAAGAGACTAGAAAGGATAAATATGACATGAGGCAGTATTAAAGAACTGTAGTTTGAATGTATATTGTTTTTAGAAATTCAATCCTGAAATCAATATTCGGAGGTTCTATAAATAAACACCAACCCACGTTACAGTGGCATATTGCTACCTTTTCCGGTAAGATGAAACATTTGGAGAAAAGATTGGGGTATTTTTTTGATCTGAGCAAAAGGTGTGGTAAGATGAATGTCAAATATCAGTTGGGGGAAAAAAAAGAAAAATGAAAAAAAAGTCAACATCTGGATCTGATTGTGTTGTAATACGCTATGAGATGCTATTATTCTTAGAAATTAATTTTAGCTTAATGGTATCTATCGAGGGCGGTCAGATTAATGAAATGGATGAGGCCTTTCTCCATTAAAGCATTACGCAGACCTGCCATTAAAGTATTACATGGTTAAGAGATCACATTCATTTTAGTTATGGGGATTTAGAAGCTCCTAGTCGTTTTCTAGAGTGAAATCTAACATTTTCATTTATGAAAAACCTGGTGATTAAAACCCAGAGAAAATTACTCAACAGTTCCGTTGTTTCCTGTCCGGTGACATGCTTTGTTAAATGTTTTATTCACAATTTCATTTGGGAATAAATGTAAAGATTTCCTTGATTTTAGTTTGCTCAAAATATAAATGCTACTCGCATATGATTATGTAATGATATTTCAACATACTTGTGATGTTACAGCTTATGGAGGAGGGTCTGTGATTTTGTCTCCACCCTGGTAATAAAGATAAAAGCATGTTAAGCAGTCTATGTGGCTTGATATTGCTCTTATCTGAGTAAAGTAATCCATCAGAGTGACCTGTATGTGTGTCATTGGTGTGTTCAGAAAGTGAAAAGTCCTGTGTAGTTAGGGCTGGGCTTGGCATGAAATCAAAGCTGAAGTTATGTATTACATTTTCCCCTCCCCTTGGTCACATTTCAAAGAATCAGTCAGGTATTAATCTTTACCTAGAAATATATGCATTTATTTATTTTGTATATGTACATTTCCCTTCCCAAACATTTACAATATTCTTCTGTGCAAACATTGACATTCTGACTGACATCAGAAAGCCAAAAGAATAACACTAAGTGTGAAATGATGATGCATGTGCATGCATATATTTTAAAGCAGGGCTGCCCACACTCGGTCCTGGAGGGCCGGTGTCCTGCAGAGTTTAGCTCCAACCCTAATCAACCCCCCCATAGCAGCTAATCATGGTCTTACTAGGCATACTAGAAACCTCCAAGCAGGTGTGTTGAGGCAAGCTGGAGCTAAACTCTGCAGGACACCGGCCCTCCAGGACCGAGTTTTGGCACCCCTGTTTTAAAGTGTTGAGTGATGACATCCTAAGATCTCCAGAGATTTACACTAGATATTAAAAACTCACTCAGTGATCTCATTTTTTTTCAAAGCATCTCACCCATATAACAGTTGCTAAAGCACTATCTGTTGCTATCTAAAACTAGCCGCAGAACATCTGGCTCATATTGCAGTGGTTAGGCATTAGAGAAATTCACATGAATCTTAGCTGTAAGATTGTGAGGGTGTGGGGGAGAATATTTGTATTTATATATTAGTGAATCTGTGCTCCATCATTGCAGATGTTTTTTTGTTTTTTTTTAACTCTGCTAATGTTAAAGATGTTTGTGTGACTTGGCTGGTAGAGCATGGCACTTGGTTTAGTTATTTGGTTTCCATGCGACACACATACTTAAATGTTTACCTTGAATGCACTTTAAGTTGTTTTAAAGCATCTTCCAATTGCATAAATATAAACTTTTAAAAGCATCACTGCACAAATGAAATTTGGTGAATAAAAGAAAATAAAAGAGAGACATTTTTGAATCTCTTATACACACACATATTTCTAATTATATAATTACACACAATTGTGACCTGTAATATTGTGTTTATATGTAAACAGTTAAGTTATTGTCAACAAATCGACTCATTTATGTTATGGACAAAAATTGTCCAGTTTATTTGTATCTTTTCCACCAAATGAAAATAAAAAAAATAAAAAGAAGCCAACACGTCTAGTTTTTTTTTACATATCATGAAATCTTATTTATGCAACGGAATAAAACAAATAATAAAAAAGGTAATTGCGAGTTTATATCTCAAAATTCAAACATTAAATTCATAAAAAAAAAAAATTATGCCACAGAGGTTAAAAGGTAATTGCAGCTGTTTCCTCTTTGAAAGTCTTTCTTTCAGTTTCGTTTTTTTCTCTTGAGTTTATATCTCACAGTTCAGACTTGTTATATGTACATACTTTGCTACAATGCAAAGTAGTGAGTGTACAGCTTGTATAACAGTGTAAATTTGCTGTCCCCTAAATAGGCCTGCAGTAATACAACAAAACATAAAATAAATTAAAAGTTAGCAGAACGTGGGACATTACACCCAATACGTCTACAAACAAATCAACCAGCCTCCAAGCTTTAGCTATATTTCGGCTGCCACCAAACAGATGTTCCCAAGCCCTGCACCTTGTGTGACGTCAGCGCGATGAGAGGGGTTTGCCCCTCGCGCATTAGGAGGGAACTACAGGATGAGATGAGCTCGTGCTGGCTGTCACTGCCGCCGCCCAATAGACACTCGCGATCCGGAGCGCGAGCAGGACGACATCCTCCCAATCAAGAGGCCGGAGTGTGAGCCCGTACCTGACCTCAATTCGGCTTGGATGCTTTAGCAACAATCGGCAGACTGAGCAAGCGAGAGAGGAGAGAGTGTGGGACAGAGACGGATATTTGGGATACAGCTCTCGCGCGTCCCGACTCTCGGTCTTGCAATGGGATGCACGTTAAGTGCAGAGGAGCGCGCGGCTCTGGACCGGAGCAAAGCGATCGAGAAAAACCTGAAGGAAGCCGGAATAAGCGCAGCCAAAGATGTCAAATTACTGCTGCTGGGTAAGTCTCACTGGCCGCTTTTCAGTGAGTGCATTGAATAAGGATGCTGCAGGTGTGTAAGTGTGTGTGCGTGTGACAGCACTGACACAGCCTATGTCTCCGCAGGCGGAGGGGAGTCGGGGAAGAGCACCATTGTCAAACAGATGAAGTAAGTGCGGGTTTTTAACATACTCAATGGTTTTGTGCCTTTTTTCTGCTCGGTTCAGCCATGTTTCTAAACGGTTAAATGTTGGGAACTGTTTGTCTCGCGCTGTTCAGTGTGTGGTAGTGCTGAAACAAGCGCACCCCAAGAGACAGCGCTGTGAGTGAGTGAGTGTGTGTGTGTATGTGTGTGTGTGTGTGTGTGTGTGTGTGTGTTAGTAGCATGTGTGCAGTGCAGCTCGAGAGCGCGCGTGTAGCCTACTTCGTCGCTGTCTCTGCGGCTTGGGCTTCAAAGTTCCTTAATGTTTCACGCTTTTCTCATGTGCATTTAATCTGGGTCCGGTATTTGTGTGTTGTGCCATGTTATGCGTTAAGGCCTTGTGTTCATTTTGTCATCTGACTGTGCTTGAGAGAGAGAGAGTGTGTGTGTGTGTGTGTGTGCGCGCGCGCGCATTAGAATCTTTCTCTGTATTAATCTTAATGGGTGGCTTTTAGTGCCTGATCCCTGCAGTCTCGTTTAGCGTTATCCGCCCATTAAACGGATTTATCGGGACTATGCCACCTAACCTTACATTTTCAGAACTACGGATATGCAACTATTTTAAACTTATATGGCAGTTTTTACCAATTGTGTTGTATTATTAAATATCATTTTGCAGATCAAACTCATTTTAATGCACCAGCATCACTGCGGTTTTTGTAATTCAAAGCACACATAACTATATCTCAGACCTAGGATATATTTTAAGGTTTTAAATACACTCTTACTAGTTACACTTTAACTTTTTTTATTACAGTTATACAGTTATTGCATAGTTACAGTTTAACTTGTGGTTTAAAATATTAAGACGACCAACAACTTGGGCTATGCAACGTGTAGGAGTTCAAGACAGATTGTTGCATAATCCCTAATCATACTACTTTTGCCACCATATATTCCATCCATATGCATATATATATATA